GTTCTCTCAGTCTGTCACTTTGTCCACATCAGTGCTGTTTTTCATCTCTCTGCAAGCTCCCCATGCTCCATCATACCAAGTGATGTATCTTCCCTTTCAGCTCCTTCCGTGTTCTTCACTGACTGACGCTCTCTCACACATTTTGACTCACAGCTTCTGGTCAACAAAATCCATCAAAGTAACTCACCCAGCTTGCCCTTGAACTACCCAGTGTAGTTCAAACATGATTAATGTTCAACAGTATTTCCCAAACGTGATAAAGATGTCTATCCAGCGGCTGATGGGCAGGCAATAAATGAATGTAAGCACAGTGTGCTCCTAAACCTGTCTACCTTCTGTCCATGTGCTGACTTGCAGACAGCCAGGAGCTGCCTGTGTGGGAGCTGTGCATGAGAGCAGAGGGGGAGACAAATGTTTAGATGAGCCATTAACAACAGTTTTACAGGACAGGATTGGCAGGGTGGTGGCAAGGAAACGTATGTTAAGTGCTGCTGTTCTGTTCTGTGCTTAGTGTGGTTGTCACTAAGTTGTGTTTTACATATATTTTAATTTTTCTAAGGTACCAATGAGCAGTAATATCCAACTCCTTTGTTGTCACTGAATTCAAACACACAGTAACCGCACCCACCACCTGAGAACATCTCATTCTCCATTGAAAAGTGTTTCTTTGAGAGCTCAGTGGTTTAAAAACAAAAAGCCTTCCCTAAAATTGAGAGGTTATAATTAATTCCTGCCATTAATAGGTGAAATTTTCAGTTTGTGTGGATAAATGTAAGAAGACAAAATCCAGGTTTTGTCTATTTGAATACTTCATTCTTCAAAGCTGTTGATGTTTAGAGAGATGAGCACAGGGAGTGCAGGTAATTAATGCATGTTTTGTAAATCTGAATGCAATTGTAGGTGTATTGAAACCTACGATGTCATCCCCATCTCATCTGTTCAGAGCACGTTTAAACTGGGCAAACTCCTTTCTGACTTACACTTGGATCTTTGAGACTTGCAGATGATGTGAATCACGGGAGAATGGAATTGTGAATTGTATAAACCTTTAGTTTTATTAGACTGGTAACACCCACAAGCATATTTCTATCAATAGAAAAAAAGTGCAGACAGGGCAGTGGTAGGGCAAACTTCCTGCAGTGTTTTGCAGTGTGGAATCAGGGAAAATTTTCCAAGTCAGAGGGTGAGTCAGCATCCATTGCCCCTTTTGCAGTAATGATTAAAGTCTTTGCTAAACATGAAAAAAATGAAACAATCCTTATTCTATCAAGCCATGTTCAACAGTAACGTTTACTGAAGTAGGTAATCTCCTCTGTTTAAGATCAGTCCCTGGTGTATGCTTCCAAAATGCCAACCATGTGGCTCTCTGTTAGACACTGTGACTGGAAGTTGGTCGTTTTCCTTTGGAACAGTGTGTTGGTTGCCCAGCCTTTGCAGAGATGAGGTCACTGATGCCCACGTGTGTATGTCTAAATTGCCACACTGGATCAAATCAGATTGGATGACTAAAAGATGCAGAACAGTTTCTAAAACACATTCATTTTACGAAAGCTAAATGATGGCAATGCCTGACTGGGATCTATTCCATTGCTTGCCTTTAAATGATCTGCTCTGTCATGGTACTGACAAATGTGGCAATTTCTGAAGTGAAGTGGACCTCAAACACACTTGAGTGCTGTTCTATAGCAATAAGCATCTCTGATGGGCTCTGTATGGAAAGCAGGTAGCTATACTGCATCAAGCTGAAATGTATGAATAATTGGGCAGCAGATTGGTTTTTTTGGAGTATGGCCAGAACCCCACACCTCCTGTGAAATACTTAATAATGGCAAGTAGTTAATTATTTGTTTTTCTGTAGGGTTAAATGGCAACTCCAACCACACAATACCCTAGAGCACTGAACTTCTACGCAAGGTTAGTTGTAATTGGAAGAGCAAAATGTTTACTAATTGATTATGCAAACTACTCAGCAGCACAGCCCACCTCTAATGCAACATGGTTTGTTTTACAGTTACAGACTGTATTGTGTGCAGCCACCAATCTTAAGAAAACACAGTTCTGCTTCCATTATTTCCTATCTGTGGCTTTAGAAATTGGATGACTTGAGAGCAATCCAAAAACCCAACTGACCAAACAAACACACCAAAAAAAGGGAGCTTCTTTACATCCCTTCTAGTTGTGAACCTGCCTAACACTGCACTTTATAGCTTTTCACTTTGAACAACAAATAGGAATACGCTATTTTCATGAATGAAAGAAGGTATCTTCCTGTAATCACTGGATCTCCATTCCTCTGGATTTAACAAAGTATAAACTATTATGAAAGTAAAACATTAAGAATTAGGGGGAGTTATTTCTGTCTGCCTGCTTCCAGAGCAGGACTGAAACTTTTGCTGAAGAAACTTTCCTCTAATTCTGTGTGCTTGATACAAATTCTCAGTCTATTTCTGGCAGGTGTAATAGAAATGTATCTTAAAATTGTCATGATTTGCAGGTGTAATCCCAAGTGGTCTGCCTGATAGACTGTTGTATTTGGAATTATTGATTTGGAGAAAGCCATATGCTTAATAGTTTCTGATTCATTTCAGTGCTTTTAGATATTATGGAGGCATAATGAAAAATGAATTGCTTGCCAGCAAATAAAGGAGCAGGGGTTTGTCTGTGGAGCTGAAGATGCTGCTGGAGAAAGAATGAAGAAAGGAGAGAGAGGGAGAGCAGGAAGTCTAAAAATGTAGCATATTTGAAGTTAATTTCATTTACAAACTGTCATTTAGTATTTCTCCAAGATTTCTGCATTAGGTAAGGCCTGCTCAACAGAGCCCTGCCTTTAATGGTTCTGTCTTTCAAAATGACCTACTTCTTCTGCATCTAAACGTGTTCCAGCGTTATCATCAAACCTCTACATTCAGTGAAGCTTTGAAGCCTTTTTTGGACTCCTTGTGGAATAGGGTCCACCTCATTATTCCAATGTTTCCAGTTCTCCATGTTACTGTCTCAGATCTGTCTTACCTTCCAGTGAAGAATCATAGTAACTCTTGAGTTGGAAGGGACCACTATAGGCCACCTAGTCCATCTCCCTGCAGTGAACAGGGAGCCATGAACTGGCTCTTGCTGACTGCCATTTCATTATTTTCTCAAACTCCTTGCTGTTACTGACTACCGAAAGGAACAGCACAGCAAATTCACTCAGGGCTTGTTTATTTCCTCGTTTCAAGGAAATTTTGAGCTCATCTCTGTATTTGCAACACCCGTTTCCATGGTACATTAAAAAGAGTTGTCATTCAAATCTCCTAATGCTTTCCTGTCTTAAAATGACATCTGTAAGTACTGGTGCAGTGAGGCAAAGACAATTCAGGGGAGATGCACAGGATCCCAGAGTAGATCTGTGGCAGAGCTGTGAACAGAGGCACCCTCTTACCTTCTCCCTTTACGGGATGCAGCCAGTGCCCACATCAATACCCAATTACAAACAAGCAAGTGTCTTGCACGGTCATTACCTTCCTAACAGTTTGCCCAGCTTGAGTAAATGAAGAGCTGCTCAAGAAATATTAAGTATAGAATTATAATGAGCCTTATTCCTCACAGCTGTATTATGACCCTCTCACAGTCTCTGTTATTGCACTTTCACCTAACAGCTTGTTGCTGATCTGAATTTTGACTTACAGAGATATTACAATAATGGGGAGAAATCCTTCACTTATAATCATGCTTTATAGTTCTTTTGGTTTATTCTGGCATATGACTTGTCACAGTGAAATAAATTGAATTCTGTAGAATTCCTACAAAATGCCCCACTTTTGATTTTAAATGTGCTCCAGCATGATGAATACAGCATTAGGGTGCTGGTTAAATGTGTGTAACTGGGTTTTACCCTCAGATCTCTCAGCAGATTATGATGGTAGTCATGGACAGCTCATTTTCAGACTTCTTGTTGCTGCATGTCATATCTGTAAAATGAATGTGCGTTAACTATACAGCAGGTCTGTTCTGATCCCTCCTCAGTTACTTGGTTTGAACATGACACAGAATGACTGCTGCACTCATATACCAATTACCTGGCTGCTACCTCATCTTCTCAGTGGATACAAATACTTTCCTAGTTGTAAATTGTCTAAAAAGGAATCACTGTTTTATTGTGTGTTTTATGTGGTGCCTGTCACAGGGAGCCTCTGCTCCTCGATTGTAGCCAGCAGAGGTATTTATTAATACAGCCATGAAGTTAAGAACACTCTTTGAGGTCTTTGAATGAAACATGCTGAGGGCAATTACAGCTGTTTCATTTCCAAGAAAACATTATCACATATTTTTATTTAACGGGTACTTTTATGCTGTGCTGTAAAAGCAGGCAGTAATTACCAGCTGATCCATCAGCTGATGGATGAAACTAACGCACCTGTGCAAAAGCTTTCCCTCCATTAATGATGTCTGAGGTAAGTGTTCCAAAACCTGCTGCAATTGAGGTAGGGCATGCTTTTCTTTAGAGTGCTTGATAATGAATAGCAGCTTAATAATAAAGACAACACTAATTCAGAATTAATATCTGAAGTAAGTTCAACAACTGATAAGAGGAGTCAGTTGTATATGCATTAAGCCTGGTGCATTGTATCTGATGCGACTCTGTGTGTTAGGCAGTTAGTGATTTTCTCCATCAGGTCTAAAGATGCATTTGTTTGGAAAGTAGTTTAACATCTTTTGAAAGTTTGAGAACGGAGTCTAAGGGCAGAAACATGGAAAACAACCAGGCTGGAAAAGCTGCAGATGTGGTTTTACAGTATGACAGAAAGATTAATGGATTCCAGATTTTGTCTATGGGAGTACCCCACATTTCATTTTAATGAATTAGATCTGAAAGGAGTGTATTTGGAAGCTAGGTTCCCATATTTTCTCAGGAAGCAGAAGAAAGGGAGGCAATGAGGCCATCCTTCTAACTAGCTGCTAATAGAAAAAAGAAGTATTTGTTTGAACAGTCATTGCAGTGTTTGAAAAAAAATGTTTTTCAGATAATTGCCTTTGATGAGCTACGGACGGACTTCAAAAGCCCAATAGATCAGTGCAACCCAGCCCACGCAGTGAGTACAACCAGTGGTGTGCTAAGCAACAGCTACTAAACAGGAGGAGATACACTGAGCCATACGTCAAAGCATGAGTGTGGAGGGGAACACAGAGCCTGCTGTGAAGTCAGTTCTAGTTTGGTGAATAGAGGTGTTGGACTAGACCTGGGAAACCAGATGGTGGTTCTTTATCCTGATAACTTTGCTATTTGCTGAAAGAAGTAGGAAAATAATTTGGAAGTTTAAAACCTAAAAGACACCTAACGTGATGCTAGAACTTTCTTTTGATTCTGTAGCACCAGTTTTCCTTTTAAAAACCATTTGCTTTCTCTGCTTTCCAGCATGGCTTGATGACCTTTCCCAAAACTGTCTGTAAAAATCAGTCAAAATCTTTGAAGAGATTTGATAAGAAGTGCATTTCCTAGATGTGTTTGTCCCAGAGCAGGGCTGTTCTCCTGTGCTTGAAGAGTAAATAACATATTCTGTTGCATTTGTTATGTGAAAGTTTAAATGTCACCATGTGACTGTAAACTCAGTTTTACCTAATGATCCAAAATGCAACCCAGATTGTAGCAGAAGAAAGCTCTTTTTTTTTCTTTCCTGTGAAAGCTGTAATCCAAAATTATTTTGTTAATTCCAATTAAACATGCATCAGATTTGTATCACTATAGCTGACAGCAGAACTTGCCCCCATAAACTCACTGGGAATTGCAAGATATGCTGATTTTGCAGAAATTAAATTGTAATATCGTGTTGCTCAGGTACTCTATTAGTGAGAGCAGAAGAACTACCATGTGAACTTTGCAGTTGTTTTTCCCATTCAGAAATGTCTTGAGGCCAAAATTGAGTACCTGAAAATGCAAGGCCAGGTCTCTGTGGTGTAAATTGGCACCAATGGTTAGAGTCACAAATGCTGACTTGAGCTTCTGACTCACAGCTAACACAGACTTGAAACCCCTGTTTTTATTGCTATGCTCAGTAACAGATGAAAAAAAAAATAACATTGGGACTTGGAAATGAGCAGATTGTTTGACTTGTAGGCAGTACATCAGAAGCGAATACAGTTGGTTCAGATGAATAATTTTACATCTTTACAGCCAATAATTATGATTTTGACTCACTATACTGGTAATATCTTTAATTTATAGCACCCGCTAATCTTCTACCTCTTTCCCTACTTTTTCTTAACAGAGAGAGCGGCTGAGAAATATTGAACGTATTTGCTTCCTCCTGCGAAAGGTGAGCATACACTAGCCCAAGATTTATTAATTGGATGAGAATTAAAGCCACTGAGTGATAATCTGCCTTCATTTTCTTTTTTTTAATGATCCTCACTCTCTACTGAAGGGCTGAGTTCTACTGCAGAAGTAGAATTCATGATGACCTTGTAAGAATAGACGGAGACAAATTACATAAAGTTAACATAAGTAGAGGATTTCTAGATAAGAACTGAAGTTTCAGAACATTTGCCCATTCATTTTGGAATGTGCTTTTGGAAGGTGGTGAATCATTTTGCAGTTGCAGCTTGAGATGTTAATAGTCCTATCATCTGATCGTAGTGATCATACAGTATTTGATTAGGGCTTGCTGTTTGATGAATTAAACATTTTATTAGCTATATATTTAATAATTAAGTTTTTGAATTGATTAATAAAAAAGTTGATACAGCATTTACTTTAACTCAATCAAGCACATATTGATGCCTCAGTTTCTCAGGAAACTGAATGAGTTGATAAACTGTAGGATTGATATGGTCATATGTTGCACCTTTCCTCTGTAGCTTGAAAGAGGTCTTTCATAAACATTTGTTGTTCTCCTGACTCTGTACTAATAAAGTCAAAATAATCATTGTTCCTAAACATTTTACTCCCTATATTCAAGTTTCTATAAATTCACCAGGATAGTAATGGAGCCACTTAAATTATTGAGCATTTTTGCTTAAAAAATGATAACACTTGAAATATGGACCACTGACTGCATCTCCTAATCAAGGTAAGAATTAAATCCTGGTGTTTTTTTTAATAAGCTGATGGCCTCATCCTTGGAGGTTTGGGGAAAACTAGTGCTAAGGTTTATTTTCTTGGGATGTTCCAGAGATCTAACTGTGACCATGCTCAATCTATGAATTGTCATTCTCAGCTCAGAACTTGAGTCGTTCCTGCTTGTCACGATTATGAGCATGTGGTTTTTAAGAGCCATACTCAAGTACTTATTTAGCAAGGGCGAGGCACTAGGAATGTGACAAGAAGAAACAATACTTATCACCAGTAGCTTTCCATTTTTGTCAAATTGGCAGCAAGCTGTTTTCAAGCTGCGTCCCAGTTTAAGAAAAATAAAACATAAAGACATAAAGCAACTGGTGAGTGATAACATATTAATATATGTAAGCCCCATAAGAGTGCTTGGTCTTCATGAGTGTTTAATTTTTATTGAGCCTCAGTCTTCATGTGAACTAGTGAGGCCGCACCTCGAGTACTGTGTCCAGTTTTGAGCCCCTCACTGCAAGAAAGATATTGAGGCCCTGGAACGTGTTCAAAGAAGGGCAACAAAGCTGGTGAGGGGTCTGGAACACAGGCCATATGAGGAGAGGCTGAAGGAGCTGGGAATGTTCAGCCTGGAGAAGAGGAGGCTCAGGGGAGACCTCATTGCTCTCTATAACTTCCTGAAGGGAGGTTGTAGTGAGCTGGGGGTCGGCCTCTTCTCTCGTGTCATTAGTGATAGGACCAGGGGGAATGGTTTCAAGCTACGGCAGGGGAGATTCAGGCTGGACATGAGGAAGTATTACTTTTCAGAAAGGGTGGTCAGGCACTGGAATGGACTGCCCAGGGAGGTGGTGGAGTCACCAAGCCTGGGGGTGTTCAAGGAAAGACTGGATGTTGTGTTGAGGGACATGGTTTAGTAGGAGCTATTGGGAATAGTTGAACGGTTGGACTGGGTGATCTTTTAGGTCTTTTCCAACCTTGGTGATTCTATGATTCTATGATTCTATGATTGAGTATTTTGACTAATTACAGAGACTCTGTATTCATAGGGGATTGGCTTGCTTCTGCTTCACTTAAATAGTTTGTTAATTCAACCTATTCAAAGTTCTTTAGGGATGCACTTGTTTTAATTGAGAGATGATATGCAAGAAGAAGGTGGACTAACTACAGAGATCTGTAGTCATTAAAACTGACTCTCTAAAAATAGCTGTAGTCTATGTAGCATAAAGGATTTACTGCTGGAGAAAAATTCTGGCAAAAACAGTGAAGTGTCAGTTGTATAGATAAAGGAAAACAGCAGTTAGGATGCTATCAGCAAGCACTAAATATAGCCATCATTAAAACTTTGTGAGGCTTTAAGTTTGTTTCTCCTTCTACGAAGCAGCAGCATATCCATTTCCCAGTGTCGTTAAGTCAGATATTTATTTCAAATGGCTTTGAATATACTGCCGTATTACTATATATGACATTAGAACTTAATGATAAAGATCTGTTGTAAATCTGTTTTCAAAAGAGATTATAGGCAGATTTTAAAACTCTTGTTTCATGATAGCCTGTTTTTTGGACATGATTGAGTAGGCAGATAGTATGCAGTGCGAATGGTTCTAATGAGCAGAGTGTTTTTAAGGATGGATTTTTGGTTTTATCTCCAAAGTACTTGGAGAAGATTACTAACAAACTGCAACCAGGTATGTGATATGTCATCAGATGCTGTATAATTTAGCTGTGCATTCCAAAATGGTATGAAGAATGGAATCCTTCAGCAGCCAAACACTTTCAGACATTTGCTTTGGGGAAAATGTTTTCATATCACAGAAAAAACTTCGGGAGCATGTGAAGAAGGTTTATATGGTGCTGGCATGTATACATACCTGTAGAGATGCGTCCATGCTTTTATGGTGCTAGAAAGCTAGAATTAGGTCTGTCTATGTTTCCCAGTAACTGGAGAATGATTTTGTATGAAAAAGCTATGAACCTCGCAGAGCCATGGTTATATCTCTTCTGTTCTGAAGTGTGTGACAGGAAGGACTTACTTCCTGAAGCCAGCACAAAGTGAGGAGGATGCAGATACCTCATTTCATTCAATTATGTGTTTGGAAGGCTTTAACTATCGATTTGTGTTGATGTGCATGTGATGTAAATAGTAGAATGTTTAATTGTCCAGACATTGTTGTGTCATGCAAGTGTTACATTGTTCACACAGGATATATACTGGTATTGCTGAACGCTGTGGATTCTGTGTATCTGTGCTGTCTTTTCTCTTTTTTTCTTTTTTTTTTCTTCTTTTTTTTAAATAAATTGCCTTTGTTTCTCCAAGGATATGATTACATGATGCACTACAATGCTGCATAGAGATGCACCAACTAGTTGTGAATGAACTGTCTTGGCTTAGTGGAAGTAGTATCATGAGCAGTACAAAATCATAGAATTCTTCGAGTTGGAAAATACATTCAAAATCATTGAGTACAACTATCAGTACAGGATTTTTGGGTTCATTAGTGCTGCTAATGAGATAACGGGAGCATGCCATATAACTACACCATGATTTTGTGATTAAATCATTGAATAATAGAATGATTTGGGTTGGAAGAGACCTCAAAGATCATTTAGTTCTGTTCCCCCTGCTGCAGGCATGGCTGTCAGCTGCTTGACTAGTACTACCTCAGGTTGTCCAGGGCCCCATCCAACCTGGCCTTGAATACATCCATGGACGGGGCATCCCTTTGGGCAGCCTGTGCCAGCATCTCACCACCCTTTCCATGAAGGGTTTCTTGCTGACATCTAATCTAAATTTCCCCTCCTTCAGTATAAAACCATTCCAATATTTTGTGAGGTTATTAAAACATATTTGATTAATGAAGGCAGCATTATTGTATAATTATAATTGCAGGTGTATTTCAATGATCTAACTACATGGTTGATTTCTCTTGTAATTACTTATTTTAGCTCTAAGGACAATTATTTTCTACATTAAAACATGGTCTCTTTCATTAATCAACCGTTGTAAAGTCACTGCTTTACCTTTAGGGAAATTTAAATTAACTTGTGATTAGGGGTGTACTTATAAGCAACAGCATCTTAATATCTGATTTAAGCAGATAAATCCTTACTAATGAGTAGAGTTGATTAAGCTTGCTTTATTCTCAATGAATGTATTTCAGACTTGAGTTTGCTCATGCCAGACACTGCTGAACAGTGTAAATGACCTTCCTCAAATTTTTAGCCAGTATTTGTTTTTAAACCCCATTAATCTGAAGAGTGATTTCTGAATGATGAAACTGGCAATACTGTGTGAGGAAAATTAGGTATAAGACTTTTATTCATTTTCCTGTTACAGCGGAAGCATTTTAGCTAAGTTAAATTAAGCATGAAATCCATGAAACTGCAAACGTGTATTTTATAGAACTCAGTCCTTTATCTTCATTTTATCTGGTTTGATTTTGTTTGTTTGATTGCTTATTTTGGCAAGGGATAATTAGACAGCAAATTCAGCAAGAAATCTAACTGCAGAAATCTTTGGCGTGTGCCCAAGCTGGTGAAGTGTCTGGAGCACAAGTCTGATGGGGATTGGTTGAGGGAACTGGGATTGTTCTATCTGGAGAAGAGAAGGCTTAGGAAAGACCTTATTGCTCTCTACAACTGCCTGAAAAGAAGTTGTGGTGAGGTGAAAACCAGGTTCTTCTCCTAGGTAACAGCAATAAGACCAGAGGAAATGACCTCAAGTTGCATCATAGGAAGTTCAAGTTGCATATTAGGAAAATTTCTTCTCAGAAAGAGTGGTGATGCACTGGCACAGGCTGCCCAGGGAAGTGGTGGAGTCCTGAGGAGGTGTTCAAGAACTGTGGAGATGTGGCACTGAGGAAAAGGTCACTGGGCATGGTAGAGATGGGTTGGTAGTTGGACTTGACCAACCTTAATGATTCTATGATTTGTTTGTTATTATACGGATCGCTTCTTCCATTGCTCTGCCTCATGGCCACTGACAAGTTGGAGATAATGTGTCGTATTTATAGCATGCATTTCTGGATGTATCAGTTCATTGCTTCACCATGGATTTAGAGATTTATAAATATTTGACATTCTTTTAGCTAGTTGCCAGGCTGATAGTTATTAGCAGGGTATGTCTCTAAGCCTATTGCATGGTTCATTAAAGTGCTTAATGTAAGGCTATATAAGTCAATTTAGCAATTTTGGTGGATTTTTTTTTAAGTGATGAGTAACCATCCATGTATAAGAAGAATCATACTTTCTACAGAT